CACACCTACACACACGCTAACACTACATTCTCTCTTTCTTTCTCTCTCTCTCTTTCTCTCTCTCTCTCTCACTCACACATACACGCACACACAAACACACACGCGCACACACACACACACACACACACACACACACACACATACACACACACACACACACACACACACAAATAGACCTCCCTCCACATACTTATTGAGGGTAAAATGTTCTTTTCCGAGTAAAGTAAAGCTGTTCCCGCATCCTATCCGGACATTGGGGATTGCCTTGCTAGTGAGACAATTTCCTGGGCCTTTCGGCATATTGTGGTAGGATGGCCAGTTCCTTTCCTCGCCGCCTTAACTTCCCCAACTCGAAGTCAGGTACCCATTACTGCTAGGTGGGCAGGAGGGGGCGAAAAAAATCAGTGTCTGAACCAAGGCTTGAACACGGACTTTCGGCTTCGGAGACCAGCGCACTAACCGCTCCGCCACTGCATCCTACATAACATAGCACCTGACCAGTTGAAGACAGCAGTTTACTTATTGTCACGTAATAACGCTGGCGGATATTAAGAAGTACCTCTTTAACTCAAAAAATGTCCCGATCTTCTCGGATTCAAGTCTCATGCATAAGCATTGCAGATAAAGTTTACAATCTATTGCTTGACACCTTTTAAGTATCTAAAAAGTTGCTACTATGTGTCTTTAATAACCATTTTGAAGTCATTTATGCTACGTGAGATTAATATTTTCATTGTAGGTGGGTGGTGAGATTTATCCTGATGATTTTTAGGTTTTAATTCCGTTATTCGCCACTTCTGTAAACAACTAAAAACCCACAATGTTCATATACATGTATTGTATTTCCTGCTATGTTCTCTTCAGACGAGACTGCAAAAGAAGAAGAGATTGATGAGAGTTCCTCAGCCCTTGATATTCCTGAAGCTATGATGGAGTCTTCAGACGTGAGTACATTATGCAGCTGTCGAGAAACCTCTGTCCTGTTCGAAATTAACGTTCCATTACATAATGTTATGTTAAGATATGATCCCGTTTTTTATACGTGAAGCTGACGGCAAGTGCTTTGCTGATAGTTGGTTGTGGCTCTGGGTGCACTAGCTCAGTTACTATCGCATTAAACTATGGAGCCGATGGCTCTGGCTCTTATCCCTAAAGAAACATCTGCATATTGGCTGTTTTGGGTTGCTTTTAGGCCTCTCCACCCATTTAGCTCAGTTCTGTCGAAGATGGGCGTTAAATAAGTCCCCTCGTCTAAAACTAACGTAAAATGTAGATAAGGGTATTAAGTCTATTCAATGATTAATCAACAATGGTTTGGTTCTTTAAAAGTACAAATGGGATATCTGGCGGTAAATAGGTTGACTAGATTGCATGTCCTTCAATTTTCTCTTTTGCAGGATACTTTCCTGAAGGTGTACCTTATGCTGACCGACTACACTGACCCTGACACCTCATTCACCTTCAGTGGTGGTGAGCAGGTGGAACTGCTTGACTCACGACAGAAGAGTGGAATGTGGTTAGTGCGCGGACGAGAGAAAAAGGAAAAGGTGAGAAACATTGTTAATACAAGGACC